CTTTAAAACTCTCTGTCCACGATGAAAAAAGTAAAAAGTATTTTCATGAGAGTTTAAATCAAATGGTTTTCCTTGAGTTTATGACATTGTGCCCTAATATAAAGTTAAATCCTTCTTGACCTGGTCTTATTTTTTTAATTGCCAATTACACTGCAATTATAAGAATTTTTCACATAACATCACCATCCACAAATGGATTTCTCTCAATGTGAACAGAGATTCAACTGTCATGGACCCGTGTGGTAAGGAAATTCCACAATTTATTGGAATTCCAGGGTAAGTACTTCTACGAAGAAGTCAAGAAACCCAGGCTGGCTCTGGAGTCCTTTATATACTTCTGAATTTCCTGGTCATGGCCCAAAGATGACTCTTGTTATTACTTGTCTGTGTCTTATTTTCTCTCTTTTTCCGGTTTTCGTTACTCCGACCTTGTTATTTCAGGTATTGTTGACAACACCGAATTTTTAAAAAGTTTGATATTTGTTGGAACAAGCATGTTTTTTTTTTTTGGTGTACTGTTAGGGATTCAATTGGGAGTCAAGTAGTAAGCAAGGAGGATGGTACAACTCACTCATCAATCTTGTACCAGACCTGGCAAATGCTGGGTTCACCCATGTGTGGCTACCCCCCGTCTCCCACTCAGTTGCACCCCAAGGTGACTTGCTATTATCTTACTGGTCTTTTTTGAGAAAACTTTATAACGATACTTAGTAGTCGCACCACTGGGACAGCAGAGTGAAGAAGATTTTGCTCCCCCGTGCTGTCTGTTACATAATAAATATATTATTTGAAAGAAATAACTAAGTTAGATAAAGTGTGGAATTGGTGAAAAGTGTGGGAGGTCACCGGTTCGGTTCACATCCCATGCGATAATTAAAAAGTCTTTTACTCGATCAATTAATAAGTTCTACTTTCTGCATTTTACAGTTCTTCAATTTATGTAACTGATTATTTTCCAACAATCTTATCATAATTGGACTTTATATTGTCCAACGGTCTTATCATAATTGGACTTTTCTGCATCGACTTGTAGAAAACAAAATATGTCCCTTTTTAGCTTTGTGCGTCTTAACCTAATTGCTCTGTGAAATTACGGAAGTATCTTAGGATTTTGAAATTTTGATATAGAAATGCTAATACAAGGTATACTTGTATTAATGGAAAGTTTGCCCTTATTTTCCAGGCTATATGCCAGGAAGATTGTATGATCTGGACGCATCCAAATACGGAAATGAACAGGAACTGAAGTCATTAGTTAAGGCTTTCCGTGACAAGGGCATCAAATGCGTTGCTGATATTGTAATAAACCACAGATGTGCTGATAAACAAGACAGCAGAGGTATATATTGCATATTTGAGGGAGGGACTTCTGATGATCGCCTTGACTGGGGGCCGTCATTCATCTGCAAAGACGACACACAGTATTCAGATGGCACTGGGAACCCTGATACCGGAGATGACTTTAAACCTGCTCCAGACATTGACCATCTCAATCCCAGAGTACAAAAGGAGTTATCAGACTGGATGAACTGGCTCAAGACTGAAATTGGATTTGATGGTTGGCGGTTTGACTTTGTCAAGGGATATTCCGTGAGTATCACCAAAATCTATATGGAAAACACTTCACCAGATTTTGCTGTTGGAGAACTCTGGAATTCTCTTTCCGATGGACAGGATGGAAAGTTGGATTATAATCAGGACCGGCATCGGAATGAACTGATGCAGTGGGTTCAGAATGCGGGAGGGAGAGTTACAGCTTTCGATTTCACAACAAAGGGAATTCTTCAAGCTGCAGTGCAGGGAGAATTGTGGAGATTGAAGGATTCTAATGGAAAACCTCCTGGAATGATGGGTATTTTGCCACAGAATGCTGTTACTTTTATTGACAATCATGATACAGGATCCACACAGAAAATTTGGCCATTTCCATCTGATAAAGTCAGTCTAGGATATGCTTATATTCTTACTCATCCAGGGATTCCATCAGTAGTAAGTTCCCCATCTACGAGCTTCTCCAGGCTTAATTTCTATTTCAGTTCTACTCATTATTTACTCTAAATATCGACTCTGCTAGACTCGTCAAGTGATTTCTACTTGTAAATCGACTTGAATTCTCATAATCTTGGTCCAAATTGACTCATTTATAACCTTACAATTATCTGAAGAGTTTCTCATTCTGTTGTGCAGTTCTACGATCATTTCTTTGATTGGGGGAAGAAGGACGAAATCACTAAACTGTCAATGATTAGGTCAAGGAATGGCATCTCACCAACTAGCAAAGTGCAGATTATGGCTTCTGATTCTGATCTCTATGTAGCAATGATTGATGATAAAATTATTGTCAAAATTGGACCAAAGATGGATCTTGGAAATCTAATTCCACCAAATTTTCAGGTTGCAACCTCTGGAATAGACTACGCTGTTTGGGAGAAAAATATGTAATCAAATATTTTTGTAGTCACAAACCTAAATTATGTACAACTAAGATGTTGGCTTTAATAATTGACATGTCTTGCCACCAACTTCAAAATAAATGAAGTCTAGTCTTCTTATCCTATATAAGATAAGCGTGTATGAACTATGAACACGAAGAGCATTTAGTGGCTGCTATTTTCACTGTTATAACTATTTAGTGAAGAATGGTACGAGAACAGACCAATATTACTCATAATGTGAAATATCAGCCGGTGTAATTTAGAGATAAGACTGTTTGATAGTATAAAGTTGGGTCATCTAAACGAACACCACCGGAAGGAATGTAATGAACATTACTCCGAAGAGTCTCAACAGACCTAGTGTTAGTAATGCCAGCTCTCTGAAGATCATCCACGGCATACTTAGACTAGGAAAGAAGATACCATTGTGGAGGATAAATAACCTCAGTACCAAGAAAATAGCAAATACAGAGATGGAGATGCCCTCGAGAAGAACAATACCTAGAAATAGTGCAATGGTCCTAGGTCTTTCATTTAAATTATCTGTACAACTTAGATTTAAAGAGAAAATACAATCAAGATCGTTACCGGAGTAATATAATTTCATTGACATAAAGTAAAAGAAGTATACAAAAAGAAATAGAATTGGAAAAATAATGCAGAGCCATGCACGTAGAATTAATAAATCTAAAATTGACGCGGCTAAAAGCTCGGTCAATCGTACAAGAACAAAGCACATCAAAGTGAGATTCCCTGTTATAAGAGAACTTGGGAAAGGTGGTGATGAAGTTCTTCTGCAATACTGTTTCAAAGTACCAGTTGGCGGATTGCTTAGAAAACCCCTTTGAAGAGGTTGTTTTAGAGTTTCAAGCATCAAGTTGGAGTCATAAGAGGTTCTTTGTATTAAGCGAAAGCTTCGAGGAGGAGAATGAAGGAACCGAAGCTTTCATCTAATACTCCAACTCCAGGCATGTCAAATTCAGTCTCCACACAGGAAGTTCAGATTTTGTATTGTAAATTTAAATTTTTGACTCCGTTCCATGTTTTATGCAAAAATTAAGCGCTTATTAAATAGGTGAAAAGGAAAGACCCTATTGCAGTGCAATTCAGCTAATATTTGGACAGTATGTAATGGAATGTATGTAATGGAACTCTGAAACTCTTTCTTCTATTTCACAGAAAATAATTCTGCTAAAAGAAAATTTCTGGTTTAATTGTCAAGTCTTCAATACTAATTTTGGAGTTATTTGGTTACGCCAGCAAGGTCACTGTTGTTGTGTTAACCGGTGGAAATTAGATTCCTGTTTAAAGAGTACTATGGTTACGCGTGGTTTCAATTTTGCTTTGCGTATATGTCTGCTTCCTATGGAGGAAAAAAAAAATTTGAGAAGCAGAAGCCGCCATAGCGAGGGAGCCGAATGCATGAGACTGTTCCATTTGTGCTTGCTGTGGGAAGACGATATTTCTTCTGAGATTGTTGCATCCGTGCATCTTTGGTATACAATACTGGTTGGAATTGAAGACAAGAATTTAGTTTATTTTCTTTCTTAATAGAGTCCAGTGCTATCTAATCCTTCTTACGAAAAGTGCAATAAGTGGATTACAAATATAATCAATTTTACAAACAAAATCCTGGATCTCAAGCTAAAGAGGGGACTTTCTTCAGGTTAGAAGCAGCACTCTAAGGGCTCGAACTCGGGTAATCTTCATCTGCATTAGTAATTAATGTTCTTATTTAGCTTTTGAAGGGCATGTTGTTGATAACAATGAGAAAAATTATACTTAAAAGTTTTTGTTGTGTATTCAACCCTTCTGGTCCTTCGCTAAATCCTCTCGTGCTTGCTAAAGATAAAAAATGCTCATTAATAGAAGCTTAAAGAGATTAAAAATGGTCTCTTTGGCTGCTTATAACTTTCTTTATTTGCCTCTCTTTTGTCTTCTATATTTAAAACTTACTGATCGTTTCCTTTTTTTCCTTCTCCATTTTTGTGGGACGGTTAGCAATGGTGGCAATGCTCAGAATTTTCATTCAAGCTAATGTTACCCATGTTGGTCCTATTGACAACCTCATAGAGCATCTTTCCAATCCCTGGCATAAAATAATCATTCAAACACTTGCTGAATCAGGTTCATAAATATTCAGAAAATGCAATGTGTTCTGATGTACATCATATTTCTGTTCCATAACAGGTGAAGTTACCTGTTGTAAGGAGCAATTTGTATTATAGGGAAATTTTAAAATTGTTTTATTTTAACTGATTTTTCTTTGAATATAGGATAACTGTGTTACCTGGAAGAGAAATCTCAATGAAAAGTTGTCACCTCAAAATTCTATTAATCACACCGGGTTAAAAGTTAAAACTTACATCTTTTTGAAATCCACCAATTGTTTATTCCTTGTGAACCAAAAAATCATGTTGATCAATTCATTCTACAGACAACAATACTTGGCATTTACAGAATTAGAGACTAACTGGGGGTACCCGGTAAACAAAGGGAGGTACACAAAAATAACCAAAAATTAATAAAAAGAAGAAGATTATTTCTAGGAGTATAAACAGAAGATTACTTCGACTTAGATGATTGTACCTTTTTCCTGGCAAAGAACATGAGGATCCGTGGGAAGAATTTTTTCTTCCTATGGGTAGCTTTCACTTGCGATGAATCAGTTTCTGTGTTGCTCATATGTGGATTAGGATTTTCCCCATGCTGAATATTAGTTGTCCTAACCAAATTCTCAGGTTTATTTTTCTCCTCAATGCTTGTTCTTGGAGTTCCAATCGGGGTTACCCCTCCTGGAACAGATTCCTCAACTTTCCGTTTATGCTTGTGGTCAGCCCTCCACTTTCTTAGCTCCTGTTCTAAACTTAATTTTTCTTCCTTGGCTGCCTTGTTTAGTGCAGCTTCTAGAGCATTTTTTCTTTCAGCCATCACACGATATACTTCCTGCAGCTTACTCATGCTCCTCAATTCAGACTCCTTTGCTACATCAATTTGGGAGAAAACCACAGTCACTTTCATGTTAGCTAGCTCTTCTGCCTTGTTAAGAACATAATATTCTTCTAAAGAAAGTGTTAAACCAGCAGATGAATCCTCATCGTTGGTAGCAGATTCACTCTCTTGCAAAGCATTGATAGCTGCTAATGCCACTTTCTCTGAAGCTTTAGCTGATTCTATTTCCTTTTGAGCTGTAAGTAATCTACTTTCCATGGTACTTGCTCCTGCTTTTGCTTCTTCAGCTTCTTTCTTCGCCTCCTGAAGCCTTTCTTGAGCCATCCGAGCAAGTACTTTTGCCCTCTCTGCATCTTGAGCTGCCTGTTGTAGTTGTTTGACGAGTTCCATTTTCTTCTCTCTTTTTCCTCTTTCCTTCTTCTGAACAACTACTATCTCCGGCTTTATCCTTATCAGCTCATCCTCAAGAGAAGCAATTGCAATTGATGCCATCCCTTCTCTCTCTTGAAAGGCAACAAGTTCTGATTTTACTCTCTCCAGTTCTGACTTCAATGGTGCAGATTCCACCTTCAAACAGTTAGCTTCAGTTTTTGCTTTCTCAATGTTGATCTTCGTGTTTTCAAGTTCCTTTTCTGAAGAAGGAACAGCTGCTTTAATATAACCATGAGTTTTTGTATCTGGTTCTTCCAGTGCATCTCTCAGGTTTGCTTCTACGACAGTTTCCTGTTTTGAGTATCATTCCATATATGCAGCCAATTCAGCTTTTAAATCCTGTAGTGATCCTGAAGCAGTATTTAACTTTGATTTCAGATCCTTGGCCAGTGATATTCGCTGGTTTAGTTTCTCCAACTCCTCACCTGCCTCCTTTAATTCCTTCTCCCAATTCAGAGTGTCTTCCATTTTTGCTATAACCGCTCCAACTCTGTGTTCGTCTGCCTCCAGATGGGTAGCTGTTGGGTATACGACCAAAGTCCCACATTTGTTAGAAGTGGAGAGGATCATGGGTTTATAAGGATTGACAAATATCTCCATTGGTATGAAGCCTTTTGAGGTAAAACCCAAAAAGCAAATTCATAAGGGCTTAGGTCCAAAGAGAACAATATCATACCAATGTGGAGATATGTGGTGTCCATAGTCCTTACAAATGGTATCAGAGCCAAACCTCATACTAAGCCATATGGATGAATTCCTCGAAATGCCTAACGAAGGTGGTGAGCCTCGGTCTGCTCGCAATGGGGTCAATGGATGAGCTCTATTGGACATGCGGTGTGCTCTGGATGCTTCATGGACGTGTCCTGACCCCAATACGGTGAAGAGGAGTTGATCTGGCTAGAGCAAGCTCTCGAGACAGGTGGTATTTCATGTAAGGCGTGTGCCTCCAATGCATTGAAGTTGAGAATTTTGGTTGGTAGAGAGTGGACAGATGGACGATCATTTGAGGGGAGGCTCGGTGGTCCTTTGTTCGAGGGGAGGATTGTTGGGTATACGACCAAAGTCCCATATTGGTTAGAAGTGGAGAGGATCATGAGTTTATAAGGATGGACAAATATTTCCATTGGTATGAGGCCTTTTGGGATAAAACCCAAAAAGCAAATCCATGAGGGCTAAGTCCCAAAGTGGACAATATCATACCAATGTGGAGATATGTAGTGTCTATAGTCCTTACAGTAGCATGTGCAGACCCCAATGATTCCTTTGTGAAAATGAGTTTCAGATCCTCTACCGATTTCTCAACTTCTTTTGCCGCAAGAACAGTTTTTTCTGCCTTTTGCAATGCAACATCCTTCTCAGTCATCAACAAAGTGTAATCTTTTCTTAGTTGTTCCAGCTCTTCTCCAACAGTTTTAAGCTCTGAAGCCACGGCTGCATTCCGGCTCGAGCAAACTCAAGCTGTGCCCTGGCTGCAATGCTAGCCTCATCGGCAATCCCTTGCTCCATCTCTTCCACCCTTAGTTTTGCAAGTTCAGAATCTTGTTTTGCTTCTGTTTGTGCTCTTTCCAGATTAAGCTTCAACTCTTCTACGAGTCTTTTAGTACTGCTTAGCTCTTTTAAAACCTGTATTTTAGCCAATTCAGCAACCTCAGCTTGTTTTTTATACAATGGAATCTCCTCCTTCGCTGTCTCGAGTTCTAGTTCTATGAACTTTTGTCTCTGCATGGCGAACCAGAACCAGTTAGAGCTATACCGAATGTCATGTTATAAGCAATGTTCACATTAAAGCCGATAGTTAGGGATCTCAACTTTTCCCTGAGGTTATAGAATATCGCTACTTGTAGAGAGAGCAGAATAACATGTTCACATAAATACAATGTAAATGGGGGAAAAGATTCAATAACATTTATGCATATAAAACTTGAACCAATTCTGTTTCTTGATGACCTGAATCGAAATTAAATTGTGCGGCAATGTGAAACACGGAAAAGTGATTTGTAGATCTACCTTTTGGAAGCCAATTCAACTGAATAATGGAAGTCCAAAAGCAATTTTGGAAACATAAGAGTGTTTGAGAAGATTATACCTCCTTAGTATGCACTTGGTGGGCTTTCCAATCAAGAATTACCCCAAACTTTGAAACAGCAGCCTTAACAGATTCAAAAGGCGCAGCTGTGTCGATTTGACCTCTATTTATGTCAATATTTCCCAGCTGTTTATCCCATTCAGTAGATTTTGGTATCATATCAGAATTAACAGAAACTTCAGTAATATGAGTAGCATCTGTATCCTTTCTCGCTTGACAGAAATTTACATTATCATCTTCTGGAGATGGCTGCAAAACAATTTACTTCTAAATTTTCTTCTTTCTGAGGCTTAATTGTGTCCTGATCCTCAGCTAATGCAATTGAGGCCTCGTGCTCAACTCGAGGCTCATTAGAAGCATCATTTTCTCCAACATTATTTCTATCAAGAGCACTATATAAAGATTTTGGTGAAGCATCAAATGGCTCTGTTTCCAATGTCCTTGCAATGGATTCCGAAAGAATTGTTGAATTTTTATCCTCATGAAACTCTGGTTGTACTTCTTTCTATGATTTCGTGAGTGTGGCTTCTTCTGAAACTACTGCAGGTACACCAATTGTGTATTGATCCTCAGCTAATGCAATTGAGGCCTCATGCTCAACTCGAGGCTTATTAGAAACACCATTTTCTCCAACATTAGGTCTGTCATGAGCACCATCTAAAGATTTTGGTGAAGCATCAAGGGGCTTTGTTACCAATACAATTGAAATGGATTCCAAAATAACTGCTGAATTTTTATCTTCGTGAAACTCTACTGGTACTTCTTTCACCGATTTTAAACTACTGCAGGTACATCAAAGTTATGTTCTGAACCTATTCCGTCAGCTCACAGCTGTAACATGAGACGTGGCAAATGGATTTTCTGTCAAGAGTTTTGGACTCTCGTCTGAGCCATCAAAAGCATCATATAAAGGAGCTGGTTTAAAAACATCGACCAGTGGCCCCTCCCGAGTGTTAGATTCCACTTCTCCATTAGCATCTTGCCATCTTGGTTTGTTGGAGAAGCATTAGGTGATTGATCCTTGTCTGGATAGGATAATATTGGTCCAAAAGAAGATTCAGGAGGACCATGTTCTTTGAAATCTTTAGCGTCCTCCATTATCGTAAAATTCTAAGGAACTCCAAGTTCGTACCTGGGATTCAATAAAGATGGAAGATAAAAAGAATTAAGGAAAAGTATTCAATTCATGAATTTTGAAATGCTTAATCATTATTTATCATAGATTAACACAGGGATTATCATTCCTAATCATTCATAACAATAATCAAAATAAATTTTGACGATGAAAAGAAATAATCATGCATGAGAGGAAAAACCAAAGGAAGAGAGAGAGAGGAGCGTACCAAAAATGAGCAGAAGTCAAATGAGAAGCTAAAAATTGCTTCTCGGATAATTAGCCAAAAAGAATTATTAGTGACTACTAATCCCTAACACCCAACCTACGATATCCATTCTCAGTTCAAAAATAGTAAGAAAGGATTAATCAAGAAATATAAATATACACTAGTGCACGTGTGTAGTTTGAATCGCCAACCGTTGTGATTTTCATTGCAAGGAAAGAGATTTGATCCCAAGTTGAAAGCACCAACTTTCAATATAGAGTTTATATAAACTTGAATTCTCTAACTTCATCGACTATCTTTTGAGGTATGCTTTTTTCAAGATCTATAACAATAATAAAGTAGACACCATGTCTTTTAGTTACAATCAAACAATGAGGATGATGACTTTGGCATCTAGGGCGGACCCAATGAAGGCAGATGCTTGCACTGAACTTTTTGCCACTCCCATTTAACAATACAAGCCAATAGCCAAGTTTTAAAAAAAAAGAAATGTTATTGTCATTTTTTTTTACCTTTACTAATATGGGGGTGTTTGTTTTTGATTTGAGAATTGATTCTCAAATCAATTCTCATTTTCAACCACACATTCTTCAATAAAATAATATTTTCCATCACATCAATAATTTTTTCTTCTTTTTCAACCACACATTTCCCATCATATCACTATTCAAAAATCACTTCTTC